GAGCTCAATGATACACAGAACAAGGAGGACACCAATTCTGGCTTCTCTGTGACATTTTAACCACTTCTGAGATCATTCTCTGCTTAGAAAAATTACAGACACAAAAATAATTCAGAAAAACAGTTCCTAGCCTTCTGAATGGAACTTTCAAACAAGGGTAAGAAAAGACACAGCACTAACCTTCTGTTGTTTCCAACTCTACTACCCTTAAAACATCTTTTATCTTTAATAGATCAAAACACAGACTTTACAGCTTATTTTATGTATTTGAGATGTTTTTCAATAACGTAAGCAGTTTTATTCATAAATAAAATCTGCCAACAATAACGCCTCATTTATTTACAGGTCATATGAAAACCTCGATTATGTAGGTCATACCAGTGCATCTCCAAACAAGCAAAAAAAAAAAATATCCAGATACCACAGAAACAGAAGGCATGAAAATCCAGGAACAAAGGCTGGCACAAAGACTGTAAATCCCACCTCCCTTCCTCCAATTTTCTCATATCCAGTGCATTCTTACTGTGGACATAATTTTACTGAGTTTGATATATATATATATTTTTTTTTTTTTTTTAAATAAACAGGGGATTAGAAAGTATAAATCAGAAAGGATAAGTATCCCACTGCTAGAGGTAGGCATTCAGTTGATCTAAAACCAAGCATGGTAATTTTCTTTTCCAAACAGGGTCTTGCATTGTTGCCTGGGCTATAATGCAGTGGTGTAATCACACTGCACTGCAGCCTTGAATTTCTGGACCCAAGCAATTCTCCCACCTTATCCTCCAGGGCAACTAGAACTACAGGTAAGTGCCACTACATCTGGCTGATTTTTCTTATGTTTTGTTGTCCAGGCTGCTCTCAAAAACTCTTAGCCTCAAGTGATCCTCCTGCCTTAGCCTCCTAAAGTGCTGGGATTACAGGTGTGACTCACTACTTCTGGTCACAGAAGAAAAAATTTAAAAAAATTTTTTTTTAATAAACAGGGGATCTAGCCCTACCAAAAATATCTAGCCCTGCCAGAAGTAAACAAGAATTCAAAAAGCATTAGCAGGACCAGGCTATTTAGCAGAAAAATATATGGTCACAGGGCCTGCAGTGGCTCATGCCTGTAATCCTAGCACTCTGGGAGGCCAAGCACTCTGGGATTGCTTGAGCTCATGAGTTCACCACCAGCCTGAGCAAAAGCGAGACCCCCACCTCTACTAAAAATACTGAGGCAAGAGGATTGCGTAGCCCAAGAGTTGGAGGTTGCTGTGAGCTATGACACCATAGCACTCCACCGAGGATAACAGCTTGAGACTGTCTCAAAAAAAAAATTTTTTTTTAAACGGTCATATAAACATTATCTCTTGAAGCCATCTCTTTATTAAGGCCAGAATAATTATTAATATGCAAAAGAATGATCCTGAGACACATAAAGTTTAGAAATTTTAGGTTAAGAAAAAATGTGTAGCATTTGGAATAAGTGCCATCAAAAAAGATTAGAATAAAAACAGTTTTGCTGCTATGGAAGCTGAGGTCACTCACACCTATTAGATCCTTTTTTGTGTGCTACACTACACAGGTGTTTTAAGCAATATTATCTCCTTTGCTCTACAAAACAATCCTTTTTTGGTTGGTCACTAATCTAAAGAGGATATTGTATGTAAAAACTGAGTCAAAGAGAGATTAAATAGCAGAGTCAGGAATTAGACTAAGGTCTGAGTGAGTTCAAAGCTTATGATTGTTCTTTTAATAAAGTATCCAGATAATAGAAATGTAATTTATAATGCCGGATAAATAAGGCATTACAGCACATAATTATGTCACTCTGACCTCAATTAAGCTATTAAAATTCCTATGTGTAATTCTTAGGCATTTGAAAAACTGACTTTAAGTATACCATTTATCTTTCAAAAATCTTGGGACAAGGTCCAAGATTTGGGCAGTGGCTCAAGCCTATAAACCTACTCCTCTGGGAGGCCAAGGTGGGCAGATCATTTGAGCTCATGAGTTCGAGACCAGCCTGAGCAAAAGCAAGACACCACCACCCCTGTCTATACTAAAAATAGAAAAACTGAGGCAAGAGTTAGAGGTTGCTGAGGCCACAGCACTCCACACAGGGCAACAGCTTAAAACATTGTCTCAAGGCTCGGAGCCTGTGGCTCAAGCAGCTAAGGCGCCAGCCACATACACCTAAGGTGGCGGGTTCGAATCCCTAGCCCGGGCCCGCCAAACAACAATGATGGCTGCAACCAAAAAATGGCCAGGCGTTGTGGCGGGCGCCTGTGGTCCCAGCTACTTGGGAGGCTGAGGCAGGAGACTCGCTTGAGCAGGAGTTGGAGGTTGCTGTGAGCGTGATGCCATGGCACTCTACCCAGGGGGATAGCTTGAGGCTCCATCTCAAAAACAAACAAAAAAAAGAAACATTGTCTCAAAAAACTAAATAAATAAAAATAGCTGGGCATTGTGGGGGGTACCTATAGTCCCAGCTGCTCAGGAGGCTGAGACAAGAGAATTGCTTTAGCCCAAGAATTTGAGGATTCTGTGAGCTGTGATGCCATGGCACTCTACCAAGGGTGACAAAGAAGACTCTGTCTAAAAAAAAAAAAGGGGGGGGGGAAATCTGTTACTGTTTATAATTTTATTTCCAAGAACGAAATTCATGGATTCCTTTAAGGGTCTGATAGAGTTGATATTTCACTGAAGAGTATCTTAAAGATACTATAAAAGTCTCGAACATTAAATCCAGTTCCTAAATGAATACTGTGTTCCAGGCAGTATGCTAATACACTCTGTGTACAGATCCTTGATTCCCCACACCCAACTCTGAGGTGTTTATGTATTTTCATTTTACAGAAACTTGTCCCACAGTTGGTTAGAGAAAAACATTTAAAATAGGTCCATCGGACTTTCAGGCTACTGCTTCTAATGACTTTCTATATAATCTCCTTTATATGAAATATGAAGGCATCAAAGTTCACAGAACTTTGTCATTATCATTTAAATAAGGATGGAAAAAACAAAATCATTCCAAGAACAGTCAAATAAATTTTCTTTCAATAATACTAACTCCCGGCTCGGCGCCTGTGGCTCAAGTGGCTAAGGTGCCAGCCACATACACCCATTGGGGTGGCGGGTTCGAATCCAGCCCGGGCCCGCCAAACAACAATGACGGCTGCAACCAAAAAATAGCCGGGCGTTGTGG